TTGCTCTCTCCTCTAGTCCTATTTCTGTTCTCTCTTCTTTCTTTCCTCTAATCTTTGTTCTGTCTTTTGTAACAGCGTACTTTTCATGGGCTGAGCTCTTTTCGGTTTCTTTTCATTACTGGTGTACCCCATTTTGTAAAAGAGCACCTGTCCGTGTGGGTTGTCAACAGGGTCTTTGGTACTATAATAGATAAAACTAATACATAGTTAACCATTTTCCCAGGAAAAAAAAGACCGTCTTTTTATGGATAATCCAAATACCCAGTTCAATGTTTGCTCCCATTTCTTTCTCTATAGTAGATTTCTTTTTAAAATCAGAAATTTTTTAATGTAATATAAAAGAATAATTTAAGGAGAAATGGATATGATTTTTTGGCAACTTTATAATGAGATTTAGATAACAACTCAAAAAGATTTATCGAAATATTTAAACATTTTAGCCTCGGTGTAGTTTGACAAATTTAAAAATCCATTTATTTTGATGTTTTTTAATGTGCTAGCTGAAATATGATTAAAACATATGGTTAAGATGTGAAATAGTTCAAATCTTAATTGTAGTTTGATAAATTTCCGTGTGTGTGTATGGTGTGTGCGTGCGTGCATGCGTGTGTGTGTGTAGATGGGAATGAAAAGATATCCAACTTTATTTGAATTCCTTTAAGAGCATGCTGGATCTCCTGAGAGCATAAGCGAATAGAATTTCTATATGCACTCAAAACAATCCACTTTAAAAAAATGAAATAACCAAGAAAAATTTTCATATAAGATACTCACCAGCAGCAATGGTAGCCTCATGGACCACTTTATCAATTTCATCAGTAGTTACTCCTGGTTGAATTGCTCGTGCGGCAGCATCCAAAACTTCCCTTGCAATCTGTATAGAATATTAACAAAACAATGAACTCTTGATAAAAAAAATAAAATAAATTAGAAGAGCAACACCTAACTATAAGATATCCTATAGAAATAAGGAGATGCCATAATATTTAAATCCAATACTGTATTTGTGCAATTTTCATCATAAAATAAACTATCCAGAAAAACAAGATATGGTCTTGAAAACACACTTTACAGCTCCCTAGATAACTTAAGAGCATTTAAATCCGATACAAGATAAGAGCATTTAAATCCGATACAAGATAAAACTTCATTGTGAATGTTACATTAAAATGTTATGCAAAATGAACTAAGACTTTCTTAGTTGGCTTGTCTAATCTCAAGAAGAGAACAAGTGATTCCAGATTGGGTTGACTGTTAACTAACTGGGCCAGTCTCGTGTAGAAGCTCCTGGAATTCGTCTTCGACTTGGAGCAGTCTAGTGCGATTTGACTTCTAGTAAAATTGATTGAAGTCTTTACATGGGCAATTTAAATCCAAATCTAAGTTCTAGTCACTGAGATCAACTGTCAAAAATCAGAGAAATGACCTGCATAAAAATGAGTGCCTAAAGGCCATAATTCGATGACCTGTATGACAATGACTCCCGAATGACCATAATGAACTAGTTGTTGCAAAAACTTTGTGGAGCCGATGGCCTCCATGCCAACCATTTAAGACAAAAACTGAAGACATGGAAATTATGCAGGGACTGAAAGCCATATGGAATAACCAATGCAGGAATGTTCTTTTTACGAATCTCTGATCTTTTAAATGCCTTTATTATAAGAACAAAAATAGTTTTTGTGCCTGCCTGCAAGAATTATTGACATCATTTGGAGTTTTTGCAACTCATAGGCATCTTTGGGAGGTTGTACATGGGTTTGGAGCCAAATAGGAGTCTTCCTGCATTGTCGCATTCCTTGAATATTTTATTACTTAATATAGAATGATCATACTAGTTTTCTTACTCATTTTGGACATACATATAGGTATAATATTTGGAAAAGAATAATGATAAAACCATAAACAAAAACAAGAATACTTATACAGATGACTGATAAATATATGAAGATTAAGAGTAGTTACCCGGCACGTTTCTCTCATTTTCTCAATCTTCTCAGATGTTTTTATCTTCGAACCATAACATGCCAACAGGAGATGAGAAGTTAGCTTGCACAAGCATCAACATCCAAGATATCATAAATTTCTAAAAACATATCATATGCAAACTCACCTCTACCACATGCTGCAAATCACTACTTGGCTCAACCTTGGGAATTCCCTATTAACAACCAAACATAAAATAAATAAATAAAAAGGGGAATAAGGAAGCAGCTATTTGTTCAAAACAAAAGAAAAAGTTAGGGATCAAGAAGAGGGCGAAGCAAGAACCAAGAGGTAATTGTGTCACTACCAGAACTTTGTTTTCTTTTCTTTATTAAACAAAAGTATGTCACTACCAGAATCTCAAACACTTTCAAATAAATTTTGGTTGGAAATCACCTGCATTCTAAATCAAAATGTGCAACAGTACAATAGTCATGATTGTCGTTTGCATCTCTCTCCCTTCCTCCC